CTTCCCAGCTTTACTGATTCTCGAATTAGTGATTTTCTCCCAAAATTTTCATGTGTTTGCATGTGCATTAAATAGAAGTAGAGAGATCGTGGAAGGCCGAAGCAAAATTGGACGGTCCAGGCAGCGCCGCTGAAGAGGGTGAAGCTGTGTAAAGTGGTTTTCTGTGGTCGCTGGTAGGCCAAATCACATCTCCTGAAATAACGGCCCCTACAAACCAAAGAAAATTAAAGAGCGGCTGAATTTATGTTTTATGGGTGGAAGGATGGGATTAGCTAGTGAACTGTGATGGGGAAGATAGTTGGATTGCTAATGTGGTACTCACCTTAAGACATGTTGAACAGTCATGTATACAGAATATGTAGGTTGGCCTGTCCATGCTTCATCCTTTAGCTGTAAACACAGACAGAGTAAGGTGTGGTTAGAGGTGGGAATCATCGGTATAGCCCCCTATGATGTGCTTAGGGATGTGAATGTTGATACTAGTCTCTAAGGACGTACTTAGCCAGTGAATAAAAAAAAAAAATACACACGCAAATACACAACAGCCATCACAATATACGTTTTTTTTTGGCTGAACACTGCACTGCACCGCCAAAATTATAAAATCACAAAGCCGGTCCCTTCCCATTTGAATCAGCCATGCTCTAGCAATTAGTTTTAAAAAGATAGCTCTGATTTAAGTGGTTCAGACAGACCTAACAACTGTCAGCATAAGATCAAAATGCTGGCGAGTCCGTACGCGGCTACCACGCTTATCTGGGGGTTGGGCTTCGGCGCATCAACACTGACTTGGATGGGGAACATCACCCTAAGTTTTGAGTGTTCTAGCTTCTCAAATTCCCGAGTAATGAACTCACCAAGAAAAAAAAACTTGGCATAAAAGCATAAGACACATAAAAGCACGGGAAAAACCGCCAATCCGCTGGCAATACATTTTTGTGCGCTTAAACGAAATTATGTGAATCAGAAAGGCTCAAACAAAGAAAAAGTAGGCAAATTCAATGATAAGAAAAAACGCGACGGAAATACAGAAGCGCATGAACAAACTTTGTTAACGCGTTGCCAATTTCGATCACAACAGCTTGCCGATTATCACTGGCAACAACACCAAGCGACAGCGGATCGAGGCGCGATGCCGTGCTACTTGAGCTACTCTTCGAGGGCAATGTACGACGTTGCGACAATCGAGCGGAACCATCGCGTTGCATCGCTCCTGAAACGCAGTACAACTAACGCTACTTATACTGGTACTTCTTAATGAACGTGTCGCAAAAGGAAGGAGGTGCTAGCAGCAAGGAAACGAAGCTGGCGGCTAAACCCTTTCGCCTTGCTCAGTTGCTCTTCGATTCCATGTAATATGCAAATGTCCCGTCTCCAGACTCGAGTTCCCCGCTCCGTGATATGTGATGATGTGATTAGAAATGAAGTAGTGATTGATTTTTGTGCCACAAAAATTGTGCGGCGGCAGCTTGGAGCTCCCTATTGTCCAGTGGCATCTTGGAGCTGCTGCCGAATTTTTCGCGCCTTGCAAGTTTTTTTTTGCGCTTGTACTAATAAAGCTTTATTTACAAATCTGGGCGAGTATCCCCCGTAGCAGCAGCCCCATCCGGTCGCCCTTCGCTCGTTACAAAAATTCCTTGCCTAATTTATTACTTCTTTTTACATCTTTCCCTTTTTTTACCCTTTTTGACCTTTTCTATCATCCATTTCTACATTTTTCGCCAAAATTTTCACTTAATCTTAAATACGCGTTATTTCACCGTTCCGTTTCTTCCCGCTAATGATGAAGCTGGCAACTTCTTTCACTCCTTTTCTCAATTTTGGATCTCTCAAAACCACATAATTCCACATAGCCCTTCAGTCGGCTCCATCCACCACTTTGGCGGCTTTTCCTGTTTTCTTTTGACATTGTATGAGTACCATTCAGTGATTCGCTTTGTCCATCTGTTGTCTGTCATCCCTGTCGCACTGTTAATTATGACACACAGTGCTTTGATAATATCGCTCACACCAGACCGGGATTGCGATAATTCAGCAAGGAAGTGCTGCAACTTGCTAAAATCCACTGCGCTCCATTTCACAGCTCGTTCGGCCATTCATCCTAACTTATCCCTTCCAGCAAAGATAAAAGAAATTCAAATCCCCAAAAAGGCAATAAATACAATATTTTTGAAATTCAAAAATGTGGTGGATGGAGTCGCCTGAAGGGCTATGTGAAGTTATGCGGATTTAAGAGATCCAAAATTGAGAAAAAGAGTGAAAGAAGTTGCCAGTGTGTAAAGGCACAATGGTACCGCGTGTGAATGTGCCGATGGACCGAAGGAACCAATTAAGGCGCTCGTTTAAAAAGAATTTATCGAAACGGGACAAAATAAATAGCAACGCGCACCAGACTAGCCGGTGCGATCATGCGTTTTGTGCAATTCAGCC